TGTATATATATATATAATATATATATATATAATATAAATATAATTTGTGTGTGTATGTGTTACGATATAACTAACGAGGTCATATTCAGAAGACAATGAAACCGAAACCAAATAGCGTTGAAACAGGAAGTGAAGTACACAGAAGAGGATGACAAAATACCGGTCCACATAACAGAACATAAACCTGACAATAAGATCATTAGGCTATCGTTAGCCTATATGTATAACAGTTAGCCTAGTTGTAATCAGATTTTCTAATCTGACTGGACAAGAGACTTTCTATTGATATTTCAACCTGCGCGCGTTCTAGACGGGCTGTCAGTCAGTACAGTTACAGTGTTGCGCCACAAGGTGGTGGAAAGGGACTGTCATTAACACACTGTTATCATTACTAACTTGTTTAATATTCAGTCCATATGCATGAAGTGTAAAACGAGAAGGGCATAACCTTACGAAAAAAGAAAACACGCAAAAATCACGGTTGCTGCGGTTCTTGCATTCCTCTGCGGTTTGCTCATCAATAGCGCGGTATTGCGATATTGCGGTTATCGCGACAGCCCTCATCAATCATCTTGTTTGTCTTAACCCAATGACTAATACAGGGCTCCAGACTCTGACTAAAACTGTTGTACATGTGATGACAAGTGTATTTTAATTATATTTATTACTCAGTGGTGGAGCATTGCATTAGCAGCGCAAAAGGTCGTGGGTTCAATTCCCAGGGAACACACATACTGGTAAAAAATGTATAGCCTGAATGCAATGTAAGTCGCTTTGGATAAAAGCGTCTGCTAAATGCATAAATTATAAAATTAAAATTATTAATTTCAATAGGTTTTTATTTATTTTTAATGATGATTATTATTATTATTATTATTATTGTCATTATAAAAAGATTGCTCTTTCATTTTTCTACTACATTTTTTATAATAATAATAATATTTATTATTTTTATTATCATTATAGGTTTTATTGTGCGTTGAATATTTTTTCAAAATGTTAAAAATATTTAGTCTAAATTAACTATATTATAAAATATAGTCTACATTAGCAAAAGTCCAGAAAACTTGGTGTACATTCATATATTATATTATTTTTGTAATTTATATATGTAAAAATATGAAAATATATACATTTGTAAGTAAATATGTAATGTATATTATGTCTATATATATATATATATATATATATTCATATATATATATATATATATATATATATATAATTTGTGTGTGGGAATGCAAACTATACACACCCTCCTAAACCAAAGAAATCCACACTTTACACACCGGCGCAGCCGTGCACTCTAATTGGCTACAGATTTGTCATCTCTTGTGTGATTGGCTGGAGGCTCTGGGTTGGATCATACCTCACTGACCCACAGAGTGGTACTTCTGGGGTCAACCTAGGTCAAACTCCTCTCTACCTGAGTGCCTTCACTTTGGGGAATAATTATATACATATATATATACACACACACACACATTGATTCCAACATTTTCTAATACATTATTAAAATGAAAAGTTGTATCCATTTATGTTACCTAATGAACCTGAACTAACATGGACTAACAATGAAGAGTTGTATTTTTAACATTTTAACTAATGTTAACAAATATTAATAAATACTGTAACAAATGTATCGTTCATTTTTTGTAAATATAGTTAACAAAATGGAACCTTATTGAAAAACATTACTCACACTGATGCTTTGGCACCAATATAATCAGGATGAAATAAACCACTTTTCAAAAACTTTGAGCAAACCTGTAATTTGTCAACTGTTCAGTGGCTCACTTGTCACTTTTTTTTTTTTATGTGGAGCTCTGTATTATGGATCTGTATGATGAATTAACGTTTTGTCTTTTTTTATCTTTTTTCCCCCTCAAGCTGAGAAAACTGGTAGATATGTGCATCAACCCTGACCCAGAGAAAAGGCCTGACATCACCTACGTATATGGCATCGCCAAACACATGCACGCCTTGACGATCGCAAACTGAGTCTGCTACCCGATTCTTCTTGCTTCTACTTTTAAGACCTTCGTCTGGCCCAGAAATGTCATTTAAAGCTTGTTTTGCTCCATCGTAATGCAACCTGGCATCTTTCAGTACAAAAAATACAACATACGGCACAAAGCAAGGCCTTTGGGTTACTAGAACTACGTCAAAAAGACAAAACCGACCTTTACATATAGCACTTCTAAGAAGAAAAAGGAAAAATAAGCAGTGTTGTAAACTGGTTTGACTTGATTTTTGCTCTTTCCGATGTTGGTACCATGCGATGATTGCATATTTACCTCCATTAGTTTTTTTCTGTCACTAGCATGAATTGTAAATCTGATATGCTTTTGAAAATCCCACAACAACCGTTCCAAGAACTTTTTCACAGCGAAACCTTACGAGAAAAACATCTATAAAAAAAGAATTAAAATTCCCCTTAAAAAGCAACTTTGTTGCCTTTCGAAATTTCAGAGGTTTGTCGTTCTATTAAAAGAGCATGAGATCATAGTGGTATTTGTCGCAATTTCCAAGGACTAAATAAGTAGTCCATATCTAAACCTTAAAAACATGCATTCAATCCAATTATCTCCTGTCTGTCCTTCCTGCACCTAAACATTTATTGCAATACTTCTTAGGATTTTAAGCCTTAGACCTTTTAAAATGCATTAAATAAATCATAGATCATGACAATACGTTTGCGTTCGCCAGATTTCGTGCAATGCATTCAGGATGAAGTACGTTTCTCAAAGGCAAATCCTTCCCAGTATCCGCACCTCCACGGCTGATATTTGAACTTTGATAAATAATCAAAGCAAAAGCCTAACATGCAATGCAGTATCTTTTAAATAGTCACACATCTTTCATAGTGCCTTGTTTCGTACTTCAGAAAACGCAAAAACAGTGCCTTTTCTTCCTGTAAACCAAAACACGTTTTTATACAGAATTGGCAACAATTACATCATTCAGTCGGTTTACGACAACCGAGCATCCTGAAAGAGGTACGTTTACAAACGACTTTTTCCAAATGCAATGTGCGAGTCCGTACAATTCCGCTACGTTCACCAAAACGTCTTGACCTGTGCTGCTTTCCAGAATGTGGCTTGTGATCTTTGGCAGACTCGGTCTAATATGAGTTACACAAGCGTATGAAGTTATACTATCCAGACAGCAGCTATTACGCAGCACCTTTCGCAGACAGTATGATTTGCTGTGATAGTACCAAGTATAAAATGGTATGTTTTTTTGTATCTTTAGTCGAGAGCATTTTTAGTGTTTACCTTTTTCTTTTTACTGTATTTTGCAATAATCACCCTTTTCTTTCGTCTTTTGTTAGCACCGTAACAGATTATGCTTGTTGCCTTATCGATAATAGTATGTATTTATCTTGATGAGGCACGCGAGGCCTGTTCCAGCGAGATCTGGATCCTTTACCGCGGTAAAGCACACATGAATCAAACGCTCACTGTCTGCCAGACTGTACTCTCTCTACTTTCACCCAAATCATTTGGGAGGGGAAGGAAAGGCAACTTTTTATTTATTTGTCTTTTTTTGACGGTTTATTTGAACATGTTTAACATTCTAGATGCACATTAATTCTTTATATGCTAATTGAAATGAAAAAAATAAATACAATTAAATGACGTAAACCCTGTTCTCTGGTGTTGTGGTTATTTAAAGTTTGAATTGACAAGGTATATGCAAAATTTGCATAACGTAAAACTATATTCCGAGTCGTTTTAATTGCACATGCCAATCAATCCCCCAAAGCGTCGCCCACTCTTGTTTATTTGTATTCTTTTAGCGACTGTCTCCACTTAGCCCTGAGCTTTATTAGCTGGCAGCGTGTCGCGCTCGCTCGTGCCCCAGGGTCCACGTCCGGCTTATTCCCTACAGGAAAGGCATCGGCAAGGGGACTATTTCCTCTCATTCTAATGAATTCCTCAAGGAGAGCAGTTCAGTTTCATCACTGGAAATTGCTCCCTTGAAACTGGCAGAACAACGAAAACAAACTTAAATAAACCTCACAATTGATATCGGGCTTGTTGTAAGCTGCTATCTTTACCCACACTGGTCTAGTGCTGATATTAGTTATAAAAAAGGCTTTTGGTGAGATTCTTTTTTGTTTTTGTTGTCTGAGCATTTAGTGTATGTTTTGCTTTTAGAAAACAGATGCAGGTATCCATCTTGTGGCGGTACAGTCTAACTGCACTACATTGATTGTAATAGATCTGAATGGAGGCTTCTTTCTGTGGTGCAGCTTTCATATTGTTAGACAACAGGCATTGCTAATGAGTTTATACAATGGAATTAGGGCTCAAAATCTTTTATTTCAGTCATGGAATACCTGAAAAATATTAGGAATATAATAGATCATTGTAATATCAGTATTTCATATCAGACGTTTGCAGTAAATTTACGCTACTGGTCCCATTTTTTTTTTTTTTTTTTTTTTAAAAATTTAATACTGTTACTCAGCTTTTCCAAAAAAAGGATTTTGTAGTTTCACCACAGGATTTGTTCAATTTAAATTTAATAAAATGTTAAATGTTCATTTAATTAAATGTTAAAGGGTTAGTTCACCCAAAAATGAAAATTAGCTTGTGTTTTACTCACCCTCGAAGCATCCTAGGTGTATATGACTTTATTCTTTCAGATGAATCCAGTCGGAGTTATATAAAAAATTGTCCAGGCTATTCCAAGCTCTATTATTGCAGTCAGCGGGTGTTGCAGTTGAACAGTCCACAAGTCGTCAAATAAAGCTTGCGCATTCATAATAAAACGTAAAAGGCCTCCTGTAGCAAATCCATTTGTTTTTGTAAGGAAAATATCCATATTTCAAACGTAATAAACACTTTTCTCTCACTTCCATTATCTATCATACACGGATCCGTTCCGGCGGATGATGCAGGACGTATGCGCAGCGCACGCGCCTCTGAGATATGCTAGTCTCGGAATAGCCAGGCCAAATTCAATAAAAAATGTCAGCTCCATTACTGTCAATCCTTTTACCTTTTTGAAATTGTAATTGTCCCAACACAAAAATGTATTATTTTTCTTGAGATGACGCAATGCAATGCAACGTTTAATCACATTGTATGGTTAATGTTTGAAATGGTACAGAATTTTGTTTAAAAAACACAAAAAACAAAGCCCCTTTTTTATTATGGGTTATCTATAAAAGATCAATAAGAAATCAATTTAAATATAAATAACATTTCACAGTCAGTACGTTTTTTTTTTTAAAGAAATTAATATTTTTATTCGTGATGCATTAAAATTGGCTGTAAAGACATTTATTTAAATTTTCAAATCAGCATATTAGAATTATTTCTGAAGGATCATGTGACACTGATGACTGGAGTAATGATGCTAAAAATTCAGATTTGATCACAGGAATAAATTAATTTTTTAAATATATTAAAATGGAAAACTGCTTTCAAATAAAAAAAAAATATTTCACAATATTTCTGATTTTACTGTATTTTTGATCAAATAAATGCAGCCTTGGTGAGCAAAAGAGACTTCTTTCAACAGAAAAATTCAAACTTTTGAACTTTAGCATGTTTTTGTAGCTACACTTTTTTTGAAAATATTTATTGTCTCTCAAGCCAATTTATGACCGAGTAATTCATTTGCAAGTTGGCCTGAATCATTCATAACTGGAACAGCCATTAAAATGTGCCGATTTATGTGGTAGCATGTTTTTTTACATCCAAGAATTGCATCAGTTAGTCTCCAGAAATTGAGATTTTTGTTAGCTGTTCGCAAAACATGCTCTAAAGCGGTGTAGACCAGTTATTGAACAGTATGCTAGTTGTTACACTGATCAGTTTTACACTTTGTCGGCAGACTGCACAGACACTGAGAGATGTCACTACAGAAGCCCAACTGACTGATGTTTTTACCTTTTGCACCAAGGCCAAATATATTCTCTTTCCTTAAGATCCAGGTGCTTGGTTCAGCTCTCTATATCTGTCTGTTGCCAGAGGGACCAGCACTTGTAACATGTCCCTTCTGCATTGGCAGCAGATTCAGCTGCTGGCAGCATTTTCATAGATTTTTTTTTTTTCTGTATTTCGGCAAGAGAAACGTGCCGTTTCTCTTTAGCTCTGGTTCTTGAGGAGAGTTTCGCCTTGTTCTCGGCGTTTGAAGTGGCCGGGAAGCTGACGCTTTATTGGCTGATTGTGTGGTCAGCAGAGAGTGACAGTCTTTGAGCCAAACTTTGTCCAAGTTTGGAGTTGTGAGTGCAGCTGGGACAACAAATAAGTCATAGTCGGGGCAAAAAAAAAAAACAAGTAGACAGAATCCGGGTTCCTCACTGTTCGTTTCCCCCTGTGGACACGCATGGAGGAAAATAGCTAGCGCATCTCAGGCATTTTTTTCTCTTTATTGAAAGGATTCGTGCTTTGAAACATGAAATATCAATAGCACGCAGGTTTGAAATAGCTTGTGGCGCATTCTTGGCAACTTTAAACCAATTAGTTTGTGAGGGGAAAAGAATTATCAAGGGATGATCTCCAAACATCCACCATTCAAACCATTGCTCTTTTTTTTTTATTTGAAAAGTTTTCTCCAAAATGCTATATCTGGCAACATCTTAGAACGGCGGTTTCTAAGGAAAGAAGAACAACAGCGAGTAAACTCTGCCTTATGTATTGTTAATGATTCTGTTTTTACTTTCCGTTTCTTCTTTATTGGGTCATTCTACAAAACGCTTTTCCCTCATATACGAGTGGGAAAAAAAAGACTTCTGATTCCAGCTTTTATTTTGTTACAATAGACATTTTCTACACGCATCAACAACAACAAAAAAATATATATAAATATATTTTCTTTTTTTTTCTTTTTTTGGGTCTGTTTCCACTGGTGTTTTTTACATCGCCTTGCTATATTGGCCATTTTTTATGAAAATAAAATATATGGAAATAAAAATAAACATTTTGTCTTTTTTACATATATTTTTATAGTTTGTTAACAGACTGAAGGACTGGGAGTTATTTGTCTTCTCTGTTATCATTTTGTATATATATATTAAACATTTTGTCTTTATTTTATATATATATATATATATATATATATAGCGAGAGAGAGAGAGAAAGGACTAGGAGTTTTGTCAACCCTGTTACCATTTAATTTTAGGCAAACAGGCAAGTCTCTGATTTTTTAATGCTTTATCTTACGTTTTGTAATCTTTTTAGATTGGAATTAGTCGTAACATGTCACCTCTGTTACCATTTTAAATATATATATATTTATATATAAGTCTTAAAAATGTCAACCCTGTTACTCTAAACCCTTTTACCTTTTTGAAGTCATTATGCATGAATATGTTAATGTTATTATTTGTAATAACATTTAATCGCATAAGATAATTTTTTCTGTTAAAAATCATGTTAAAACAACCATTAAAACTTCCATTTACTTACATGACAGTAATCTACAAACTGACATTTGTAGGCATACTACACAAACATATGCACAGTGTTATTGTCCATGTACTCTATGTATTAAGCATTTTTTTTCCTTCCCAGAGGAAGCATGGGGAAATACATGGTCATCTGTGGTAAACCTTAGCAAAGTTAAAAAAGGCTACCCTCTGAGCAAGACTCATAAACATTTGAACAGCATCTCCTGGTATATTTAGCCCATTTTGCCCGACCAAGGAAGCATCTCTAGCACCTTTTGGGGTTTTTCACAAACTAACTATTGGAAACAAATGCTAGGTTGAGGTTTCAAAAGAAATCTGATCCAGAGAATGTCTTTACAGGTGGTTTTTTACCCACAGCTGCTTTGAATTCTAAAGCCTTTCCAACCAAAATGTCACATCCCATCCTGTTGCCTCCCTTCATCAAGCTGTGAATGAAAAAAAAAAAAAAAAAAGTAAATAGACTTGCTTGAGTAAGCATGAAAAGAGAGAATGTTTGCCATTATTTTCTTTTGGACTCCAATCTGGAGTGTAAAGTAATTGAAATCATTCTGAAAAAAATAATTAACGAGATAGACAGGGTTCATTGTGTAAGCTGTATGTAAATAGTAATGGTGAAGCATTGATATGTGAATTTTTTTATGCAAATATGCAATATGCAAATTAAGTCTGCAATGCATTAACTGATCATATTTGTTTGGTTATTAGGATTTTATCTGTCACTTCATTCGGTTTATAGTACTTTTTTGAATTACTGAAGGCATGCTTGTTATTTTGTCAGATTGTACTCAAATGAAAATTTTAAATAAATGTGTAAATTTTTACACATCTTTTTGTTTTAGGCATAGTTTTTGTCTTTTGATTTAAAAATGCACTAAATTTTGTGTTATTGTAATATTGTGTTGTCACATTTGTTAATTTTTGTTAATATTACTCTTTTACTGACTATAACGTATAATATAATGGATAAAAGCACCTTCCAAATAATCAATGTAAAAATGTAAATGTAACGTATCTCATTTTAGGAAAAAAGTGCAAATTAAACAAAGTTCTCTTAAATCTTAGAAAAATTATTGATTTCCATGTGTCAAGGTAAGTTCTCCATAAATAATCAGTTTTGTTTGCATTTTTCATCACTTTGTTTTTTTTCTTTAAGGACTTTAATCATTTGCATTTAGGTTGATTTCTGAATCAAGTA